GCTGCCGGAAAATACGTAGATAACGAGATGCTCGTTGTGAGCCAACGTTTACTTGAGCCAACGTTTACTTGAGCCAACGTTTCCTTGAACCAGAGATAGAGAAGGGAAGAGAGGAGAGAGAACGGGGAGAGGATCTTCCTGGGGTTCCGGGGCCTTGTTTGGAGTCTGGGGGTTTCTTTGGGGCTAATGCCGTGGAGGTCTCCCCTGCAACTCCTAATAGGCGGGGGGGGCGAGGCGGCTTGCTGGTGTGTGCTCGGAGGAGCGGACGATTGGTGAGAGGAAGGAAGGCGAGCTGAAGGAGCAGAGCGGCCCTGGAGACTGTGTAGCACAAGGAGGAAAAGGAGGAGGAGGAGGAGGAGGAGGAGGAGGAGGAGGAGGAGGAGAGGAGAAGGAGGAGGAGGAGGAGAGGAGAGGAGAGGAGAGGTAGAGGTAGAGGAGAAGGAAGAGTAGAGGAAGGAGAAGAGAGGAGACGGAGAGGAGAGGAGAGGAGAGGAGAGGAGAGGAGAAGGAGTAGGAGAGGAAGGTAAGGGGAGGAGAGGAGAGGAGAGGAGATGAGAGGAGAGGAGAGGAGAGAGAGGAGAGGAGAGGAGAGGAGGAGGAGGGAGAGGAGGGAGAGGAGAGGGAAGGAGAGGAGAGGAGAGGAGAGGAGAGGATCGGCAGGAGAGGAGAGGAGAGGACGAGGATAGGATGAGTATGAGGAGGAGAGTAGTATGAGGAGGAGGAGAGGAAGAGGAAGAGGAGAGGAGGAGGGAGGAGCGGAGAGGCAGAGGAGAGGAGAGGAGAGGAGAGGAGAGGAGAGGAGAGGAGACTGAGGAGGAGACAGGAGATCGAGAGGAGATTCGAGTAGATGAGAGAGAGGAGAGGAGAGCATAGGAGAGAGGAGAGGAGAGGAAGGAGAGGAGAGGAGAGGAGAGGAGAGGAGAGGAGAGGAGAGGAGAAGGAGAGGAGAGAAGGAGGAGCTGATGAGAGGAGGAGTAGAGATAGTAGGAGAGGAGAGGAGAGGAAAGAGGAAAGAGGAGAAGAGAGGAGAAGAGAGGAGAAGACAGGAGAAGAAAAGAGAAGAAAAGAGAAGATACAAGACGAGAAGAGACAAGAAGAGAAGAGACGAGACGAGACGAGAAGAGACAAGACAAGACGAGACGAGACGAGACGAGAAGAGAAGAGAGGAGAAGAGAAGAGACGAGACGAGACGAGACGCGACGCGACGAGTCGAGACGAGACGAGACGAGACGAGACGAGACGAGACGAGACGAGACGAGACGAGACGAGGAGAGGAGAGGAGAGGAGAGGAGAGGAGAGGAGAGAAGAGAAGGGAAGGGAAGGGAAGTGAAGAGAAGAAACGAGACGAGACAAGACGAGAAGAGAAGAGAAGAGATTATAAGAGAAGCGAAGAGAAGAGAAGAGAAGAGAAGAGAAGAGAAGAGAAGAGAAGAGGAGAGAGGAGCCGAGCAGAACAGAGCAGAGCAGAGAAGGGAAGGGAAGGGCAGAGTAGAGAAGAGCAGAGCAGAGCAGAGCAGAGCAGGGAAGAGAAGAGAAGAGAAGAGAAGAGAAGAGAAGAGAAGAGAAGAGAAGAGAAGAGAAGAGGAAGAGACGAGGAGACGAAGATAAGATAAGAGAAGAGAAGATAATAAGACAACATTTAGGAGAAGAGAAGAGAGGATAATAGAAGAGAAGAGAAGGGAAGAGACGAGAAGAGAAGAGAACATAAGAGAAGAGAAGGGGAAGCGAAGAGGAAAACAATATGATATAAGAGAAGAGCAGAGCAGAGAAAACGAGATCATCGAAGATAATAAAAGAGAAGAGAAGAAAAGAGAAGAGAAGAGACGAACATTAAGAAGATATGATAATATAAGAGAAGATAAGGGACGACACGAGAAGATCAGATAATCTACGATACCATAAGACAAGACATCATACAATGATGTAAGGTCATATGACATGCGATGCCATACGATAACGCGTTAGATGATAACATGGGCGGGGATGGGTTGGTATAACAGAAGTCAAGCTAGGGCCCGAGAGGATACTAGAATATAGAACATTGTACGATATGATGAGATAAGATCTTGTACGACGGTCTACGATCAGACATTGTATGATCCGAAAATAAGAATACAACATAATGTATGGTACAGTCAGATAAGATAAGACAGAATAAAATACGGCATGGTGATAACATATAAGACATGATATGATAACACAAGAGGATATGAGAGAAGATAATATACGCGAAGATAAGATTCGATACCCTATTATAGTGTAAGACAACGTAAGCGAAGAGAAGACACGAGAAGAGAAGCGGCGATAATACAGATCAGAGAAATAGAAACGAGCGGATAACTTAGGGGGTAAACATATATACACATACATCTATATATGTATATATACAGTGTACAATTATGGTGTGTATATATATATATATATCCTGGCTAAGGACCCAACCATCTGCAGTTGTGAGCACCGCCGTTGCGGGTATCGCCTTCGGGGGATCTCCTCATGGGGCCAGAGAACATGCGAAGGGTATGAAGATGTGGCGCGGGGCCGCCCGTGTGGGCGCTGCCACCGGCGCTTCCTAGGCGGAACGCACCACGGGGCAGCCAGAAGTGTGACGCACGCGGGTGGTGGCAGGAGGAGGAGGAGAAGGAGGAGGAGGAGGAGGAGGAGGGGGAGGAGGAGGAGGGGGAGGAGGAGGAAGGAGCAAGAGGAGGAGGAGGAGAGGAGGAAAGAGGAGGAGGAGGAAGAGGGGAGGAGGAGGAGGAGGAGGAGGAGGAGGAGGAGGAGGAGGAGGAGGAGGAGGAGGAGGAGAAGGCGAACGCTGGCATGTGGGCATCTGGTGGGGCTCCCTTATGGGGCCACAAAACGTGCGAGGGGTGTGCCAAAAAAAGGGGCGGGGGCGACCGCACGCGAACGCTGGCACGTGGGCCTTCGGTGGGGTTCCCTGGGGGGTCCGAGACGTGCCAGGAGTGTGCGACAATGGGCGCGGTGACCGCATGCGAACGCTGGCATTTGGGCCTTCGGTGGGGCTCGGGCCACGAAACGTGTGAGGGGTGTGCCAAAAGGGGAGCTCCTTGGCAGCCATCGGAGTCTCTTGAGGGGCTGCGGGGCACTCGGGACTGGCCTCGGGCCTTTGAGAGGTCTGGGGACGTTCTCGGGGGCTTCTGAGAGCCCAGAGGCGCCAGAGGCGGCGAAGTGTGCACGGGGCTGGAACTCCTGGAGGGTCTCGCGGGAGCTCATTGGCAACTGTCGGAGTCTGCTGGGGGCTGTCGAGCATCTCCGGCGGTCCTTCTTGGACAGCTCTGGGGCCCTCGCGGGCCGGTCTGGCGCCCCTCCTGGGTCGTCCGAGGATCCAGAGGCGGCGAGAGGTGCTGGGGCTGGGGGCTCCCTTCCAGCCCCAGCACCAGCACCTTTCGCCTCCAGAGGATCTTTCCAGCACCCTTCCAGCCCCAGCACCAGCCCCAGCACCAGCACCTTTCGCCTCCTGAGGCTTGTTCGCGACCTCCAGAGCATCTTTCCCTTTCGCCTTCGCATTCGCCTTGCCTTTGCCGTCGTTGCCGCACTTGGCTGTCTTCGCGTCTGTTTTCCACGTCTCCGCGGCTCCAGAGCACCGCAGGGAGGCTCCAGAGCACCTCAGCGTAACTGATCAGTCCTCCTTGAGCGGCTCTCGGAGCCCTCCTGGACCACATTCAGGGGCCCCCCCTGGGGCCGTCGTGGTGCGCTCGTCGGGGCCTCCTGGCCCCCCGATTCTGGGGCGAGCTTCGAGAAGGATCCGGGGCGCCGCATGGGGAGAGGGCGTGGCTAACCTTGGAAAGCACACCGCTTCTGCTCGTTCCTTTGTTTTTTTTTTGGGGGGGGGGGTCGTTCCTTGGCCCCGTGGGGCCGTCTGCGGGGTCCTCGCGGGCCATCGCTGGGGCGTGGGGGAGAGGAGGAGGAGGCGTAGGAAGGCGGAGGCGGAGTATGAGAAGTAGGAGGATGAGGAGGAGGAGGAGGGGGCCTCCCGGCGAGCCGAGTCTTCGGGCCCTCGGGGGGCCGCCGTGGGGCTCGCTTTTCGGGTCCTCTTGGGCCGTCCGGCCGCCCTCTGAATAGACAAGCGCGCTGCGCTCCTCTCAGAGGCGACGATAGGGGCGAATACAGTCGGGGCGCTGCCCTAAGGAACCTCAAGTAGGGAACGAGGCCCCTTTCTTTCCATAAGTGAACCTTCGATTTCCTGTCGAAGACACAAGGAGAGCCTGAGACAAGCTGCGAAACACTTAAGGAACGCGGAGCCCCTCCCCAACGAAAAGGGTTCCTTCTTCAGGGCCCCGACTGTACTCTCAGAGGCGACGATAGGGGCGAATAGCCCAGGGGAGAGCAGTACATATAATCAGGGGCGCCGATGATCTATGTCTTCGGCAAGGCTCCCGGGCGAATACGTGTAATGCCCGCCCCTGGGCTATTCGCCCTGATCGTCGCCGCCGATACTCTCACGTGAACTGCTCGCAAACGGCCTGGATCCGCTGCGGGATATTTGCGATCCACTACACAGAGGAAGACGGGTTATGGTTCGGGCTGCCCTTCCAGGTCGTGTGAGTTGTGCCGTAAGTGCTGGTAACCCTGCTGCCGTCGGTGGCGTCGTCGGCTTCTTGGGTTGTGGCTTCTCATACTTCGTGACCATGTCGACCCAAGCGCAAGTGCCGGCAGTCGTCGAATCTGGCTTCGGTCTGACAATGTTGATCGAGGCCCGGGTTATGGTTCGGGCGTTTGCGAGTGAGCACCTTGCGAGTAAGTGTAAGTCGGGCGTGTCCCCCTACAGGGGGATTTTCGACGAAAAATAAGAAATACCCCAAGAATACCCCCCAAAGGTCAAAAAATACTCAAAAGTATTCCCCAGACTATTTTGGGACTATGTTTTAAACTATGTTTGGGGGTATCTTTGATCTTTCGTCGGCAATCCCCCTGTAGGGGGACAGGCCCGACTTGAGAGCAAGTGGAACGCGCTCGGTGGCCGAGGGCCGCCTCCGGCAGGAGCGTTGGGGCCCTCGGCGTACCCGGCGGAGCGCCCAAGAGGCGCACGAGGCGCTCGCGCTGCTCGCCCCTCGTGGGGCCGCGCCTCGCGCGGAGGTGTCGCACAGGTGTCGTCGGGCTCCGGCCTCGCCCGCCGCATCTCGCGGAGCAGCGCCAGAGCCCGCTGCCACTGCCTGCCTTTCTCGCACGCGCTGACCCCGGAGTTGTAGCTGACCGGGGCCGACCCGTGGGCTGCCGTGCACGGAGCCTGCCCGAGCTGGGGGCCACGCTGGGGGACTCTGGCGCGCAGAGTGCCCGGCGATGCAGTACAGCTTCCGGGTCGCACGTAGGCAACCGGCCACGAGAGCACACTCGCATGCCAGGGTGAAGAGGGATTGGCTTCTTGACGTTCTACCTGCTGTCACACCTGCGTGGTTCCTAGCCTGGTGGTATGACAGCTCATGGCCTGCTCGACGGCTGTCCCTCTTGCTTGCCTCGCGTCTTGCTCGTCCGCTCGCAAGCGCTTCCCGCTGCTTGCTGATGTTCGGCGTTCATTGCTGCTACGTTCTAATGTGTGATGGTTCTCGCCGCTACGGACTGGTGGTTGCTGCTGCGTGCGGCTGCTCGATGCGGCTTGGGGCTGCTGCCTGCTGCTGCTTGGTGCTGTTTGATGCTGCGTGTCGGCTGCTGCTGCGTGTTGATGCCGGCTGCATCGGCTGGTGTCGCTGGTGCGTGTCGCTGGTGCGTGTCGCTGGTGCGTGTTGCTGCTAATGCTTGCCGCTGCCGCTTGTGTGGTTGCTGCTCGTGGCTGCAGGGCGCTGCTGGTTGCAAGACACTTCTGCGTGCCGCATGCTGCTGCAGGATGCTGCTACCAGAGACGTTTTCCTGCTGCTGCTGCTGCTGCTGCTGCTGCTGCTGCTGTTGCTGCTGCTGCTGCTGCTGCTGCTGCTGCTTGCCGCTGCCGTGTGCTACCACTCCTGCTGCTTGCGCCGTGCTGCGTGCTGCAGTCGTGGACTTGTGTGCAATCCTTTTGGGTTTCTCTGGACCCGACATTCTGGGCATCCGAATAGACTCTGCGACCATCTCGAGCATGAGAGGCTGAGAGGCCTGGGTCTCGTGGGCGCTTCTGGGGAGCGGCTGGGGGTAGGGAGGGGCCTGTCGGAGTCTTGAGCCCGTCTTGGCGGGCTCTAGGGCAGCTTGCGGGTGTCACGCGGCCGTCGTCAGGCTGCCTCAGACTGTGTGGGGTCTCTGGGGCTGCGCAAATGGCGCCCCAGGTGCCCCGCGGCGCTTCGGCGCCCAGATAAGCAAGAACCTTTAACACGCGCAACGTCCCTGAACTCAATGAGTACATGACGCTGGGCTCCAGCTTCTCCTCACGCATCTCGCCGAGCAGCGCCAGGGCTCCCTGCCACTGCTCCCCTTTCTCGCACGCGCTGATCGCAGCACTGTAGCTCATGACGTCAAGGTTCAGCTTCACCTCGCGCACCTCACTGAGCAACACCAGAGCCCGCTTCCACTGGTTGCCTTTCCCGCACGCGCTGATCCCAGCGGCATAGCTGATGACGTTTGTATATATCTTCGCCTCCCGCATCTCGCGGAGCAGCGCCAAAGCTCGCTGCCACTGCTCGCCTCTCTCGCACGCCCAAATCCCAGCGCAATAGCTGAAGTTGTGGGGCTCCAACCTCACCTCCCACATCTCACTGAGCAGCGCTAGAGCTCCCTGCCACCGCAAGCCGTTCCCGCATGCGCTGATCCCAGCGTTGTAGCTGATGACGTCGGGCTCTATCTTCACCTCCCACATCTCGCTGAGCAGCGCCAGAGCTCGCTGCCACTGCTCGCCTTTCTCGCACGCGCTGATCCCAGCGTTGTAGCTGACTAGCTGGGGTCATGTTGCTCCCATCGCACTTCAGGACCACATCCCAGAAATAATTTCGAGCCCCCAGAGAAGTGTCGAAAGAGTGTCGATTTTCAGTGCCGAAACAATGTCGAACGAGTGCCTCCCAGGGCCCGACACGTGAAACCCCTCGAGCTTCGGCACCTTGTTGGTGCTCGAGGCTCTTTTTGGTGATCAAGGCTGAAGGAGGCTGGAACATCATAAAGCGAGGGCGAACCGATGGACCGCAACAGCCAGCCGGGGCTGATTGGAGAGGACACGCCGGAGGAGCACACGAGACCCTTCCGAGGGCCGCATCGCCGCAGGAACGCGGAAGGCACGGGCCGCGAACGCACGGGACACGAGGGCACCCCGGAGCGGCAGGGGCGCGACCCACGAATCAACCTCGACTGAGTGCGCGCTGCTCGCCTCCGCGCTGCTCCTCGTGTTGAGCAGGGACCGACCGTCCCAGCATTCCTATAGTCCTACCACGAAATGTTCTTAGAACCCCAAAATGTTCCAAGAACAAAAGCAGTGTTCTTAGAGCATAGACCCAATGCGCTCAAACAAGACAGTCCCGGCCAGAAATGTTCTAAGAACAGTTCGTGCAAACCACAAAAGGTTCTTAGAACATTGCTTGGTGGGGCTATGGGCGAGCCAGGACGCTTCGCCGCTGCTTGATCGTGCGGCGCCCTGGCCGCTCTTGGGCCGCCGGGGTTCCTGCTCGGCTCGGCGCTCTCGGGCGGCTCCTGGCCGTTCAACGCTACACCCGGCTGCTGGGGATGCGCCTGCTTCGGCCGCCCCCCCCCGGCTCCCCGTGCTGCCCCTGGCCGCCCGGGGCTCCCTTGGCTCGGCGGCTCCCCGCTGCTCCTGGGACCGGGCCAGGACCAAGCGCGGGGGCCAGAGCCGGCCCGCCCAGATGCGCTGCTGGCTGCCCCGCGTGCCTGTGAGGGGGCGGGGGACTCCTGGGAACGGCCTCGGTGCCTCCTGGGGGGCCCTCTTGCGGAAGTGCTGGGGGCGGGAGCACCCTGCCCCCGGCCTCTCCGCTCCCGAGTCCTCGCCAGAGGGCCGCCGCACGCGCGGCGGCGTCCACCTCCTCTGCATCGCGCTTTTTGTGCAGGCGAGGAGGAGGTGGAGGAGGAGGAGGAGGAGGAGGAGGAGGAGGAGAAGGAGGAGGAGGAGGGAGGAAGACGAGGAAGACGAGGAGGAGGAGGAGGAGGAGGAGGAGGAGGAGTACAGGCAGGGGGTGGGCCAGGGCGCCCCCGTCTTGGCCAGCCCAGAGGGGGTGGTCAGGGAGGGCACGCGCGGCCGCTCGAGCCCCGAGGCTGCCGTGGGTTTGCCCAGGAAGCGGCTCTCTCGGAGCCCCACCGGGGCCGAGGCCCAAGGCCAACAAACGCTCCTCACGCGCAGGGGCCGCGAGGAAGTTTGGCGTTAAGTCGGGCGTGTCCCCCTACAGGGAGCTTATGGGCGAAAAACAGAAAATACTTAAAAAATGTCCCCGATGGGGATATCCCCCGATTATTTGTTTAACTATTTTGGGATATTCATCCTGTAGAGGGACAAGCCCGATTTAAGTTTAGCGTTCAGTGTAAACGACGCCAGGCACTGACACCAGGCTCCACATTCGCCTCCCGCAGCCTGCTCAGCAGCAGCAGCGCCTGGTGCCACTGCCTGCCCTTCTCGCAGGCGCTGATCCCAGCGTTGTAGCTGACGAGGTCGAGCTCTACGTTTGCATCTCGCGCCTCGCCGAACAGAGCCAGAGCCCGCTCCCACTGCTCGCATTTCTCGCACGCGCTGATCCCAGCGTTGAAGCTGATGGTGTTGGGCTCCGACTCCGCCTCCCGCATCTCGCTGAGCAAAGCCAGAGCCCGCTGCCACTGCGCGCCTTTCTCGCATGCACTAATCCCAGCGCTGTAGCTGACTGGAGCTGGCCCCTGTACTTATGTCCTCGACAATAACGCCAACAAGGCCCGTGGCATGCTGCCCTCGCTTCCGCTTGATGCCGCTGGCTACTGATGGCTGCTCTTTGCCACCGCGTGATGCCGCCAATTGCCGCGTATTGCTGGTGCCTGCTGCCGCTTTCCTGCTGCTGTCCTCGACTGCTTGCTTGCTGATGCGTGCTGCCGGTGCTGGCCGCGGCTACATGTCGCTGCTGGCCGATGCCGCTTGCCGCTGCTTGCTGCTGCTGGCCCTGTTGCTGCTGTTCTGCAGCTGCTGTAGGATCTCCAGAGGTCCTCGGAACCTCTTGGGAGGAGGAGGAGGAGGAGGAGGAGGAGGAGAAGGAGGAGAAGGAAGAGGAGAAGGAAGAGGAGAAGGAAGAGGAGGAGGAGGAGGAGGAGAGATGGGAGGAGGAAGAGGAGAGGAGGAGGAGGCCTCCCAAGTCGTCTTGGGACCCCCTCTCTCGGGGGGCTCTTGGGCTGCCCCGGGGGGCCGTCTGCAGGGGCCCTCTCGGCCGCTCTCGGGCCGTCCTCTCGGGCTCTCGCTGGGGTCGCCTGGGAGCGCCTGGGAGCCCGCCGCGGGGCTCCTGGGCCCAGGGCTTGCCGGGGCCCTCTCTTGGGGGCCGCCTCCTCCTCCTCCTCCTCCTCCTCCTACCTCCCTCCTCCTCCCCTCCTCCTCCTCCTCCTCCTCCTCCTCCTCCTCCCTCCTCCTTCCCCCTCCTCCTCCTCCTGCCTTCTCCCCCTTTCTCCTCCTCCTCCTCCTCCTCCTCCTCCTCCTCCTCCTCCTCCTCCTCCTTCCTCCTCCGCCTCCTCCTCCTCCTCCCTCCTCTCCTCCTCCTCCTCCTCCCCTCCTCCTCCTCTTCCCTTCGGCCTCCTCCGCTCCTCCTCCTTTCTCCTCCTCCTCCTCCTCCTCCTCCTCCTCCTCCTCCTCCTCCTCCTCCCCTCCCTCCTCCTTCCTCCTCGTCCTCCTCCCCTCCTCTCCCTCCTCCTCCTCCTCCTCCTCCTCCTCCTGCTCCTCTGCTCCTCCTGCTTCCTTCCTGCGCCCGCCTCCTCCTCCTCCTCCTCCTCCTCCTCCTCCTCCTCCTCCTCCTCCTCCTCCTCCTCCTCCTCCTCCTGCTCCTCATCCTCCTCCTCCTCCTCCTCCTGGCCTGGTGCCCCCCCGATGGGCTCGCCGCGGGGCTCCCCGGCCCCGAGCAGGGCCTGCTAGGGAGTGCTGCCGCCCGCTGCGGAAGCGGAGCGGGGTCGAGCCTCCAGTGCTCCTGCATCTCGCGCGCGCGCGGGCCCCGGCAGTGCAATCAGGAGCTCGGATGACGTTGGGCTCTATCTTCGCCTCCCGCATCTCGCGGAGCAGCGCGAGGGCCCGCTGCCACTGCCCGCCCCTCTCGCACGCGCTGATCCCGACGCTGCAGCTGACGACGTCGAGCTCCAGCGACGCCTCGGCCGTCTCGCCGAGAAGCCACAGCGCCTGTTGCCACTGCCTGCCTCTGCCGCACACGCTGACAATCGCATTGTAATGGTTTCCGCCGACCTCTGATGGGCCGATTTCCCACCACCACTACCAAATGTAGGAGGAGGAGGAGGACGACGACGACCACGAGGACGAGGACGAGGAGGAGGAGGAGAAGGAGGACGAGAAGGAGGAGGAGGAGGAGGAGGACCTCCCCATCATCCCTTCTCCCCCGTCCTACGTATGGTAGTGGTGGTGGAAGATTGGCCCATCGACCTCCACGCGCAGCTGCGACGCCTCGCGGAACAACTGCAGCGCCGCGCTCCATTGCTTCGCCCTCCCACACTCCTTTATGGCAGCTCCGAGGGAATGAGCACTCGGCCGGGACGCACGCCGCACGCCTGGCATGCAGAGAGGTGGTTCGCCGTGCTGACTGGGGCTGCACTGGGAGAGGAAGAAGGGGGAGAGGGAAACTCGTCCTCCTCCTCCTCCTCCAGAAGCCTCCTCCTCCTCCTCCTCCTCCTCCTCCTCTTCCTCCTCCTCCTCCTCCTCCTCCTCCTCCTCCTCCTCCTCCTGCTCCTCCTCCTCATCCTCCTCGGAGAGGGGAAGCTGGGTGCGCTCGCGCCATATCTGGCAGTCGACCCCTCCCACCCTTCCCTTTTCCTTGCGCAGGTCTCGTCCGTATCCACCGACGGGTGCCATGGTGGACCTAGAGCCGCCCAGAGGACACCAACATGTGGTGCGCAAGCAGAGAAGGAAAGCTGCGTACACTGGGGGAGGCGGTGGCGGATGAGCAAGTTAAGATGAACAGGAGGAAGAGGAGCAGCAAGAGCGGGAGGAGCGCGAAGAACGGGAGGACCAGGGAAGGCGGAGGAGGGGAGAGGGAGAGTGGGCGGGGGAAGAGGGAAACGAGGCAAGGCAAGGTAGCCTGCCTGTCTGCATGTCTCCTTGGATACCAGAGCGGCTCTCGACGAGGCAGACGGTGCATCATGTGCGGCGTTGCGATCCCGAAAGAAGCTGCATCCGCGAAGCCAAGAAACATCCCAGACGTGGGCAAAGTGCGCCAACGCATTGTCACAATCACGTTCTGAATCACGGGCTCCAGTTCAGGGGCCGATCGGCCCTTGTACTTTCGGTGTCCACGAACATGCGAACGGCACACTCGGTGCTCTGGGCGGCTTGAATGTGGAAACGATGCCTCCTGTCGAAGATATTGCAATATCGAGAACGAGTTACGTATATAGAACACTCGGTTATGTCAGCCCTCGGTTCTGCACGTCCCTTTTTGTGAAAATGTGCCGTGGAACGTCAGCATTACCATCACCATCACCACCACCACCACCATCAACACCACCCACCAACGCCATCACCGTCACCATCACCATCACCATCACCATCAGCATCATCATCGTCATCATCATCAGCATCATCATCGTCGTCATCATCAGCATCATCAGCAGAAGCAGCATAATCAGCATCACCATCATCATAATCGTCATCATCAGCATCATCAGTAGCAGCGTCCTCATCAGCAGCAGCAGCATCATCATCAGCAGAATCATCATCAGCAGCATCATCATTATCCGCATCATCACCAGCACCACCATCTGCAACAACACAGCCATCATCAGCACCAGCATCATTATCATCATCATCATCGTCAGCATCTTCAACAGCATGATCACCAACATGATCAGTTTTATCATCATCATCAGCAGCAGCATCATCATCATCAGCACCATCATCAACAACAACACAACCATCATCAGCACCAGCATCATGTTCATCATCATCGTCAGCGTCATCAGCAGGTTCAGAATCATCCTCATCCTCATCACGTCAACATCCGCATCACTATCATCATCAGCAACATCATCAGCAGCATCATGATCTGCACCCGCATCATCATCATCATCATCATCATCATCATCATCATCATCATCATCATCATCATCA